AGTGCTGGATAACTGTGGTGCAATTTTAAAATCAATTCACCTGCAAAATCAAATGAAAGAGGATAAAAAAGTCACAGATAACTAAATCAGCCTCTTCAGGACAGAAGGTGATGGATAGTCAGGTCACATAATTCATGTAGATTATTACATTTTGATGAAACAGTGGTTTTACATCAACTGGTTCAAAATCTTTAACTTGGGTAGCATTTTAAGTTTCTGTCAGTGCCAAATGATAGATCTACTTTCTTGTGTCATTATAAAATGATTCAATTGGGCATATGCAAACTTGAACGTGGTATATTTATTTATGAAACAAATACGGTGTGAACAATGTATGTGTAAATGAGTGTTTCAGGAGACTCACTGCCATATGGAGCAGCATTATGATGTAGTGACTTGATCTTTAGGGCTAACCCTGTGTCTACAAGGGCCAGATAAAATATATTCATCTCTATCCTCTTGTGTCCATGCAAGATATGGCCATTTCCACAGCTGAAGTGCTACTTTCAACCATTAATCTGGCAAAAGAACTGGGGTTAGTCTAGTGCTTCGAGGAGTGACCCTCAGTGTTCCTGGCATGTGAACAGCTCGACTGGGTTGGGGTGAGCCAGTATCCATACATTAAAAATACCCACCATTGTTTTGCTGTGTAGAAGTTTCTCCCAGGCAGAGTTTTACTGGCAGTGCTGCTTTTGGTATTTCATGGATGGGAACCCACTGTGACCTCACTAAAAATGGCATTGGCAGAAAGGCTCTGTCAGGAAGCAGCTTCTGGCTGATGAGACAGGAGATGATAGCCCCCAGGAGGACAGGGCACTCTTTCTGTTTCACAGTGGGTGTGGATGGAGATGTGAAATGGAGAAGGGTTCCAGGGTACTTCTGTAGCAGTGCTTATGGACCTCTTGTGGTATATCCAGAACAACTTCAAAGTACTTTGAATAGTATAGATGTATCCTAGGCCTTTGGGAGACTATGATTTGGACTTTAATTCAGCCATGGAAGCCCATTTTGTACCTTGGATAAAGAGAATGTCAAGCCTCCATTAAATAAATCATGCCTGGAAAAACTATATGAAAGGATAGCTATAAGTCAACTTTGACTTGAAGTCATATAACAATCACAGAAACTTCACGAAACTTTTGTGAGGTTGTTACCCTATACAGAAATTGTTCTTTGCTGATTTCATCTTAAAGCTTAAAGCTTAAAATGATGAACTTTTGCTGGAAAAAAGTTGAATCCAGTAGAACAAGAAAGAAGAATAAAGTGTTCATTAGTCTGGTATCCCCATTCACATCAGGGTAGGGTGTGGTGTGGGGAGTAGAAATCCTTCATAATCAGTTGTCAAGTAATGTAGATGACTGGAAGGAGGAGGAGGGAGAAAAATGAATTAGCATCACCGCAATGATTTTGGATTTAAGCAGGAGCAGCAGGTGGATCCGTTACAGTGAAAGTGGTGAATCTCTGCTTGGTTTAAAAAAACGTTTCTTCCATAGTTACCAGATAACATTTTGGTTCTATGGGATTCGTACAGCTAATAGATCATATTTTGTTAAGAGTTCTGCATCAGAAGTTCACCTATGCAAACACCTATGAGAGCAACAGCTATAAATCCAAGAGTGGGTTTGCTATCCAAGATTATCCTAGACCTGCTCAAACTGGGTGATTTTTTAATATTAAATGCTGTGATTCCAAAATAAAATCTCACAGGCCCCTTGAAAGATGAATACTTGGTTTACATCTTCATGGGATGAAAGGGATTAAGGAAGGTTGTTACACACATCAATGAAACAAATCGAAATACTGACACAAATCCAACAATTCTGAGAGGTATAGTCCAAGTCCCCCTGCCTAAAAAGGGAATTTCTCTGCTTCGATTTCCCCCCATAATGCCCATTAATGGTAAAGTTGGTCAATTTTATTTTCTCTTGCATTCTTTCTTTAAAGCCACAAAGTCATTACATCCCAAACAGGAAGACATCTGTGAAATACGGATATTGTTGAAATTGAACAGAAATTAAATTGGCACTATTTCTCAGACAGGGATATATATATATATATATATATATATATATATATATAGAGAGAGAGAGAGAGAGAGAGAGAGAGAGAGAGAGAACCTTACTAATAGATCTGTGTTAAAGTCACAAGTGCTTTTACCCCTTATATGGAAAAACTGATCAGCACAATGAGGGTTGTAGTTGAGAACCTCTTGAGAGCAATAGTCTCTAGGCTGGAGTAGGCCAACCCAGGCTAAACAAACACAGATTTGGTTCCAATGAAAGATTGTGATGTATGTTTATTTTGGAAAATAATTTTGCAAATGCAGAAGACTAGTCTTGGTATAATATCCAGGCCACTTTTTAAAAAATCAGCAAGTCCTCCCGTATCTCTCTTTATGATGGATCCAAATTCTATCAGTTTTTGGACCCTCCAGCAGCATATTCACACATACAAGATGTGCAAAAGGGTTACAAACATGTTTCTTTTCTTACAATTTGAACCCCCCCCCCCTTTGCCACTATTGAAAAGGTTAGAGAGGGGGAGTGAGAGGAAAAATAATTTAAAAACAAACCCTGGGCTTGATACTAGGTCGTCCTGACATAAAGCAGAAAGACCAATAAATCTAGTAAGGCGGCCAGATCAGGCTAAACCTGACAATGTTCTGAGCTGTACAGAGCTGGGAAGCTTTGGTGACTGGGTCAGTACTGAGAGCTACCCCTCCCTTGCACCAGAGGAATGTGAAACTAGCAGTTTGTGCCAGGGAAGAACTTCATTTAATTAAAAAGAAAAGTCCCGCCATCTCACTGTATTGAGAACCAGTTGGGTATCATTGATAGTGTTTGGTACTTGTGTCCTACTGAGATGTTATTAGGCTACAAACTCCAAGCTCGCCCTACTACTGGCCTTGGATGGGCTAATGGAGTTTGTAACCCAGCTACATCTAGGAACATAGGGTTGCTGTAAATTTTCTGGACTGTATGACCATGTTCTTGATGTATGGTAAGAACACTTTTCCTCTGAGTGGATCTTTGTCTTTGGTCTCATGGCTTGTTCTTGGTCTTGCAGCTCTTCTGATGTCTGAGGTAGAGTATCCATTGGCCAATGGATACCCTGCCTCAGACATCAGAAGAGCTGCAAGACCAAGACAACTTTCACACTTGCCTTAGGCAGACAAGAGTTCTTTCTCCCACCCTGGACATTCCACAGATATATAAACTCCACTTGCCTAGTTATCAACAGACCTCACAACCTCTGAGGATGCCTGCCATAGATCTGGGCAAAATGTCAGGAGAGAATGCTTCTGGAACATGGCCATACAGTCCAGAAAACACACAGCAATCCAGTGATTCCAACCATGAAAGCTTTTGACAACACAGAGGTGTCAAACTGTCTTAATTCTACAGTGTAGATACAGTGTTATACTACGGTGTTATACTGCATTAGGAGCCCCCAGTGGCACAATGAGTTAAACCACTGAGCTGCTGAACTTGCTGACCTAAAGGTTGCAGGTTTGAATCTGGGGAGTGGCATGAGCTCCTGATGTTAGGCCCAGCTTCTGCCAACCTAGCAAACATGCAAATGTCAGTATATCAATAGATACTGCTTCAGCGGGAAGGTAACAGCGCTCCATGCAGTCATGCAGGCCATATGACCTTGGAGGTGTCTACGGACAATGCCAGTTCTTTGGCTTAGAAATGGAGATGAGCACCAACCCCCAGAGTCGGACATGACTGGAGTTAATGCATTAATCCATTAATTTTATAATGTAGATGCACTCCAAGAGGGGACAAACAGGCTCTTCCTCAAGCATGAATATCCCTTCAGGCTAATCACCATTTTTCATCATTAGCCACCTCACAGGGTTGTCATGTGTTATTAGGAGGAGATAACAGTAACATTTATTGCCCAGAACTCCTTGAATGGGTTGAGATCGAAATTGGACAGATCAAATATAGAACAAAGAGTATGCAGGGAAGGGAGATCTTTGCAATATATATATTCCTATGTAGTATCCTTCTATATCTGTAACTGCTGTTCATCATCATCTTTGAGAAGCAGTGGAAAAGTAAGGTTTTGAGAAATTAACTTATTACACATTCTTCCATTTCGTGAAAGGTGGGCTTCTCCCCACGTTCATTATTTAAAGGGCAACACATTGATAACATAGCACGAATGTGTCATTAACTTGCGACCAATGTGTTCATTTGGTTACATTCTGTTTTTAAAAGAAAAAATGGCCAAAAATGACCATCACCCCTGGCAATAATGGAATAAAGAATAAGCAGCATTTGCTTCTCTAAATATTATCAGGATTGTCCATTGTTGTGTTATTTTGCAAAGATACGTCATTGTGCCCTTTCTACTCCAAAAAGTAATGTATTTTTCCAAATGGTATGCTTTCCAAATACAATAAAAGCAAAACTGCCCTTAAATCTCCTATGTGATCACCTTTTTATGGGACAGTATAGGTGCTTCTCAATTCTTGCAATGAAAAAGACTGACAAGTAAAAAATATATTCTGAGTTTAGAAGACAATTTGTATTTTAATTTCACCATAGTCATTGATATTTATATATGCATACACCTGTATACACACGCATACACACGCACACACACGTACAGAGACACGTATGAAAAGCCATAGCTTTACTCCACTGCAGGAATTTAAAAATGAATAATATGAAAATATACAAGGCAGTCCCCTCTTCTTAAAAAACAAAAACCAAGTGACCTCTAATGCATTTCGCAGCAGAAATCCAATCAGGCACATTATTATAAAAACATTTCTTATGACAAGTATTGGTCATGCTTTGGGGTGGGGGGAAACCTGTCATAAAGGAATCATGGAGAATAAGGTGCAGCGTTTGAAGGTTTGCAGACAAAATAGTTAGAATACAAACTGAATCACATTTAGAATGAGGCACATTGAGAAGAAGTAAGTCCTATTTACCTAAGACCAACTGCGGTCTTATTGATTTTAATGGAGCTGGATGCAAGTGAAGTGGAACAGAGACTGTAAATATTTTGGCACTGCTGAATTCCAACCCCTCAAAGATACCCAAGATTTTTATTCATTTATTTGGTAACAATCCACTTGTAGGGCGCAATCTCTACAAAAGCAGAGTTGGGGGAAAGGCCTTTCACTTTTTGTGAAAGAGAAGAGGTTTCACCATTCCTGCTAGGATCTTAGGGAGTTGTGCAGCAATCACTTCCGACATCATCTCTGGAAATTCAACACTCAGCGCCCGGGACTGGAGAAATGTGTTCAGACAGTAGAGATGGAGCTGTTTCACAAGCTGTGTTTAATAAGAAGAGATATGCAAGATTATACACAAATCACACATGGACATAGATCCTATATTTATCAGTGGGATGCAAGATTGTCACAGGCAGAATCTATCTATGGAATCCTGCTCACTACTCCAGGATGCATAGTTCTCTGGGGAGCAGAAACTGGAGAAGCATCTGGCTGTGCTCCACAGTCATACACAGACAGATGAAAACCATCCATCAAGATCTCAGGCATGACTTCAGAGGTCACATATGCAAATCTAGCAAGGTCTGAGAATGAAGGCTCTACTGAGGAGTAATAAGAAACACGCATAGTCATCAAGAGCTGAGGTTTTCACAGAAAAGAGTGTATCTGCCCAAAGGAGAGCCACACTGCTGGAGGTGATGGAACTTTGCACCCAATAATGCTGAAACATACTTACATCATGCAAGGAGTCCATAAATTTGGTAAGCTGATAGAAACGTTGTGAACTGGCCACGACCCCTTTCTGCCGCAAGCTGATTGCTTTGACCAATTCTCTGATATAACTTGACCTCATCTCATCAAACTGGTTTTGACTCCTGAGACCTTCCAATGGAACTATGTTTGAAACAACAACAACAACAACAACAACAACAATCAGAATAGCAAATGTTGTATCTTTGTGGTTCAAAGTTCTGAAATAAAGAAAGGGGTATATTTTGTTGTCCTCTGATCATGCATATTCACTTTTCGTGAGCAGGGCTTGTTGTTTAAGAAATGAAAAATCTTATTCTGAATATCAAAACTCTGTTTAACAATAATTTCAATTCTGTTAACTATGATCAGTACCTGTACTGATGCAATAAAAAGTCATAATGAAGTGGCATCCCAAATTAATATGATCTCATTCAATTTCCGAAGCTAAAACTGGGTCAGATCAGGTCAGAATCTTGATGGAAGACCACAAGGGAATATTGGGAATCTCTTGGTAGCGTATGAAATAATCTTGCCTGAAATCCCAGAGGGCTAATCTGTCTCATTCAAAACTAGAGAGAAGATACTTCTCTGAGGACAACTCCAACCTCATGGGGAAGGGTTAACACCATTGTGGTATTTGTTTTGCTGTCTGTGCCCCTGTTCAGAATATTTCCTTCTCACTTTCTGTCCCTGTGATAATTGGGTATTGAAAATTTTGGCTTATTATGAAAACAAGGACTGGATATGAAGTTTCAGTGGAGACACCTTTTTCCTCATGATCACTCTTCCAGGAGAGAATTTCCCTTCTGAGAGGTAGATTTCGCTCACTTCACTAGAAATGTCTATGCCCTTTTCTGTAGTTCTATGATCAACACCTGTCAGAAACCCATCACAGAGTTGACTTGGATTCCCTAGAGATTGCTAGAGATAATATTTAATAAAATTTGTAAACAACTAAACCTGCAAAAGTTTGACAAGTGGAAGTTGACCATAGAGGCTAAAGGTTCTTAGTTGTTTATTGAAGGTTTTTCTGTTTTCATGGGGGTCCTGTGCTCCAATACTCATTTTGTCAGACATTATTCTACTGAACCTAAACATCTTATTTAGCCTCTTGCATGATAAAATGCAGAACTGCTCATGCTCAACTTATTTTATTTTTCATCAGGGCTGCAAAGCAGCTGTTCTTCTTTTTGCTGTAACATACTACAAATGTAGGAGCAGGTAGAAAGTGTGGAAGTGAGAGGAGGCAAGAAAGCTGAGAAACTGTGCACTTCAAAGCTTAAGTACATGGCTCTCTAGAACAGTCAGCTGTAAGACTAGTCTAAAATTACCTGACCTCACTACTGTCTGTAGTTTCATGTAACCCTGTGAATCGACATCTAATGTTACTAAAAACTCCTGTGGAGAGTCTGAGCATAGCTAAACTCCACAACAACCTTGATTCCTATTTTGAGATCCCTTTAAGTTGTGATTATTTTTGCAAGGAGCATTTCAGTTTCTTGATCTATTATCAATATGACTCTTTGTTCTGATACAAGACTACTTAGAAAACTACTTTCTGGACTACAATGATTTTTTTATTTCTCAACTATTACCCAGTCAAGGCAGTGTATTGCTGTTGCTTGCCATTCAAGTCAAAGTATCACAAGGTTTTCTTGGTAAGATTTTTTTTCTGTGGTGTTGCCTTTTCCTTCCCCTGATGCTAGGAATGTGACTTGTTCAGGAGCATCTAATGTATTTCCAGGGCTGGATAGGGATTCAAGCCCCCATTTTTCAGAGTCTATATCCTAGTTCAGTGGTTCTCAACCTGTGGATTCCCAGGTGTTTTGGACTACAACTCCCAGAAACCCCAACCAGTTTACCAGCTGTTAGGATTTCTGGGAGGTGAAGCCCAAATATCAGGGGACCCACAGGTTGAGAACCACTGTTCTAGTCCAACACCCAGCCACTCCACTAAAATAGATACAGGTTTAACATTCATATATGGTCTACAAAAATTAAAAGTAGTATTAAGTTCTAATATTATTTGATCTAGCTTGGCACAGGGAATTAGACTTTAAAACATGTTGCGTGTGGAAGGGTGACACACCTCCCGCCGACAAACCAAAGATGATACAAACACCGAGTTGGGAAGAAAATGGCCACAATTTGTTTATTGATTACAGGACAGAACACTTGGTTGGCAGCCAGGCATGGGTTCTGGATCATGATCGGTCAGCCCGCTGCTGACCGATACCAATATGCATGCTAGGGCGCCGCCGGCATAATACTGGGCTACTAAACTCGGCACCTCTAGAACCACTGAATGTTTGTCTCCCACTGGGGGTGGGGCAGGGGGTGGGGAGAGATACTGATCCAGGGCCCATGCCACATGCTGACCCAAGTTGTGATGAGTTAACAAAGACCAAACCTATGGCAACAATATCAACACACAAAAAAGCATGCAGGGCAGGTGGGATGGACAAGAAAATCAGGTGCCTGCAGAGAGCCCAGGGCAGCCCTATAACGGCTGCCAGGTGAAGGGAGCAGCCGTCCCCTGGCCAACCCGAGGATGAGGGCGGGAACCGCCAGCCAAGTGGTGGGAAATTTCCTGCCACCCAGGGGGCTTCTGAGAAGGAGAAGCCCCACAACCCAGTATGGCCGGTGAGACGCCGCCCCCCGCCGCAACAAGCTTCACCCAGTAAGTTGGGCAATGCATTTTTTCTTTAGGTTTTGGGAACGTCCAGTCCAGCTATGTCCTTTCTGACTGGCAGATGTCATAATCTCCAGACTCAGCATAGTTTCCCCATACTAACCCTGGGAGGAGAGAGGAAAAGAGGAAACCCTTGCTATGGGCCATTTGGTCAGTGGAACTATATGGGCAAAGGGGGGACTGGTGCTACTGGAACAGAGAAATGGCTAAGGGTGTTGCAATGATGAAGGGGAAGGCAAGAAAAGGTCATGGGGAAAATCAGCCAGAAGAAACCTTTCTGACAAGCCCTCCATTGTCACTGCATGTTCCAAAGAGTGTCCTTTATGTAAAAGTGCAATGGACTGAGAAGCTGATGTGAGGCACCAGTAGGATTTCTATATTGGTCTGCATGTTCAGGGAAGAATTTGAGAACTTCCTCTTGTGGTTTCCTGCCCTCAATTACCTCTGTAGTTATGGAAATAGACTTTTTCAAGAATGCAATGCTTTCATTCAAACAGGCAAATCCAAGCATTGTCAGTCTTCAACATTCACTGGAATTTGGAGAGCAATACCCACACTAACAATAAAATTTGAAGAAAATGGCACTCTCTAACTTGATGCCTTGCAACTAACGTAAATGCAAATATAAAATCCTATTTTTATCTTATAGAACAGCTGTCTAGAAATGTCTAGGTCCTCCAGCACAACTCTATAGAAAACTTCCACTAGTCAATTTTATAGATTTCCCCTTCTACCCAAAGTTAACTGGAAGACCTAGAGTTTCCTAAAAGGTTCTTTGGTAGAAATTGACCACAGAATCACACTGAAATACCAAGAAATTCCCAGAAAAACATTTTAAGCAAATCTATAAATAATCAAATTGGAAATCATGCTAATGCGAAGGGCTGACTGTACAGTATGGGCTTTGCTAATATACATAAAGGTTGGAAACCTACAGCTCTCAAAATGTGGTTGAATGATACATTTTATGCTTGTTGACTAGTTATTCTGGCTAGTGCTAATGGAAAATGGAATCCAACTTCTCAGCAAACATTTGATTGTGAGAGTCTGAATAGCCCCAGTTCTCTATTGAGACAACATCCTTTCTGAAGTCAACTAACCGGGCTCACTGGGAGATGCTGAAATATTGCTGTGTTAATTGGACTGTTTCAACCTCGTATTGCTGGACTGCTCCACTTTGCCTTGCAAGTCCAGACCACAGCATACAATGATTACACTTGCACGCCAGGCAAAGCAAATTGTCCTTCTCATTACCTTCTCCTATGTCTTTTACCTTAAAAATCCCAAGAATTAAATTTGGGAACTCCAATGTGCAAAGCATGTGCTCTGATACTGAGGAACACCTCCCTGGTAGAGTAATCAAAAACTCAAGGCTCCTGTATCCACACAAATATTTGTGCTAAGAAGAGCCAGTACCTTACCTGTACTGAGGAGCAGCAAGGCTTTCATGCAGAGGAATTCTTCACTGCTGACTTGTAGCTTGACAAACTCCTGCGGGATTTGCCACATGGACAGGCATAGAGAATAGAATGACGATTCTTTCATCCTCTGTCTTACCCCCCAAAGAGAAAGACAAACACTGTTTAAAACACACTTGCATATATTCACCAATACAGGCATACACATGGTTCTTTATATTCAATCCATTTTTATGCAGATTCAACTGGCTGGGGCTCATTTTTTTTTAACTTTCCAAAAAGCAAACTTGATTTTGCTGCAAACTAGGTACTATACACTATGCTGATGTGCAGGCAAGCCCTCTTAGCTTCCAACAATTTCAGAGCTCTTTCTGCATTCATTTGATTTGTTTCTCATTTTATTTGGGAGACAGCATTTCACTAAGCCATTGTCTATAATGAGACCTGAGCATCCATGAATTTTGTTATCTACAAGCATGTGTGTTCCCTGGATCTAATCCCTCACAGATATGAAGTAGTAAATTTGGAGGAACTGATTGGGAATAAAATCTCTACATTCTTACTGTCAGGTATAAACAATGATCTGTTATTGTAAGGATAGTGAAACCATTCAGTTTTACATCAGCACTTCCAAGTTATAGGGGAGCCTTACCAAGTGCTGAACATCCATAGAGATAGGATCTTGAAATGGGAAAACTCCTGAACAACTCAGAGCAATTGAGAACAAGCTATTTTAAAAACCAAAAGAAGTCTTTGGTAGAGTTTTATTGGTTAGTCCCAACTACAGTTGACCAATCCATTAAATTGTTGAAGAAAGAACCAACACATTAATAAATCTCTCTTCCTGCTAAGAGATCTGAGATTTACTTAAAATTCCAGTTTAAGTAAAGACAACCTTTCTTTTAAAAAGGTTCTGAATGGACAGCTGGTTGTCATATGTGCCAGATTGTGTGGCACAAATACATGTATACTTCAGTTAATGAAGCAGATGTGTTCCTGAAAATTATTTATTCAACAGAATTGTTGGACAAGCAATAGGAATAATATGGAAAGAACAGGGAAAGGTTCCAAGACCATGTAAAAGGAAGAGCAGTTCAACATGTTTCAGCAGATTTTTTAATTCAAAACTAACAATATGCACATGAAAAATGAAATAACCACATCATGTTAAGCCTTGAAAAAGTGGACAAGGTTACATGGAGCAATGTAAAAATATCTTTAATGGAAGGATCCAAGGGTTATTTTTTCCCTTTCACCAGTCTCTATTTTTCTTATTATTTCCATTTTGGAAGTCAAACATCTATACTTTTTGAACATGCTGTGGAGTCAGGCTAATCTACTATTCCCCTTTCTTTCTTTCCTATTAATTTACACACAGTAAGGGATTTTGAAACCAGCTACCATTTAGCTTGTCAGGCAGCATACTCAGCTACAATAGAATCAGACAGAATATAATCCCAGCATTTCTTTGATCAGTTTATTGCATTGTTTATTGCAGATGCACTGCCACAAACCAGTTCCAAAAATCTATGTTTCTCTAGCCTTCCTTTATCATCTTCTCCATCACAGAGGATTAGGAAAAAAAGGATTTAATAAGAATTTTAGAAAGTTTGTAAAATGAGTGTTGCTGTCAGATTTTATTAACTGAGATAGACCTCCATATGTACCCAATTAAATAGTATATGACCCCTGAGACCAGAGTTCAAATCCTCAGACAGCCTTGGAAACTTGCTGGGTAACCTTGGACAAGTCACAATCTTGGACCCTCAGAAGAAGGCAAAGGCAAAACTCCTCTGAACAAATCTTGCCAAGAAAACCCAGTGATAGGGTCACCATAAATCAGAAGTGGGTTGTAGGCACAATAAAGCAACAACATGCAATTCAAGCCTAATAAGTGGATTTCAGACAGAGCAATTTGTTCAGGTACGCTTTAACAGGTGCTAAACTTCTTTCCAATTGTGATGTCTTCCACTTCTATAGTATGGATGGAGCTGGGGAAAAGAATAAGAAGCAGACACAATTTCGTCTTTGCTTCCAATATCAAGCCTTCCCTTCCCTGATCTTTGAGCAAAAACTAAGCAGATGGACCAACATTTTCTGCAAGACTCCTGAACATCAATGAACATCAATTTTCCAAAGATTCAGGTATGCCATAACTTTCTGAAATTATTATGTATGCTGCTCAGTTGATTAATGGATTTTTGCTTGCTTAAACACCTGACTTTTAGAGTGCAAATACATAGTTTTTGTTATATTGAAAGGTGTGTTAGATATCTTTAATTTCCTAAAGGATTTTTCAAAAAGTGGGACCAAATGCAATGCTAGACATTTATATACACACCATTGTCCCTGCGTTATGTTTAAAATACATACTTCCTTCCCATAGATAGTAGTGGAAAGGTACACATGAGCTTGTGATCAGCTATGGAAATAAGACTATGAAGTTAAGACTATTTTGACTCAGAAGTCAAAAGCCATTGAAATTTAGGCTTTTTTAAAGTGAATATTGATTTCCTCCTCACTTCTTTGGAGCCTCCACTAATCCAAAAGACGTCGTCAAACAAAACTACTACTTGATACATTCAAACAACTGTTTTTCTAAATATGCCATTGATGTTGGCTGGGACCATCTTAGGATGTATCCATACTGCAAAACTGTATTTCTTTGATGCAATTTTAACTGTCATCTCATGGAATGCATTTGCATTTTGGTGAAATGTCTTCCACAGAACTATAACGCTACAGCTTTCTGCCAGAGAAGTTTGAGTACCTTGAAAAACTAAAAATCTCATGGAAATAAGAGTTACTTTCAAGAGAATACTAAATCTGTAAATATATATTTTTAGATAGAGCCAGTATAATTTTAAGAATGGGTTGATGAAAGGAAAAAATAAATCTGTACTTACTCATTCAATATTAAATCTGGTGCAAAATACAGCATCTGACCACTAACATGCTTATAAGACCTCCATCCCATGGCAAACACCATTAGGCTCATCCATGAATACTGGATAAGAGTTATCTGGTCATCAATGTGTAAATTTCGGAATCCTGAAAAACAGACAACAGAAACAGATTGAGAGACTGCATGGGATATAAATTAGAAACACTTCTAGATTACTATTTCCTGTAGTTCAGGACTACTCTAGTTCATTATCTTACCAACCTAAAACCCCCTGGAAGAGAATTCTAAATGCCTCACAAAACTACAAATGCCAGAATTCTAGCAATATATATATTCTAGCAGTATACACTGTCAACTTCTCTTGCCCAGATTTGGTATATAGTGGTAAGCTCTGAAATGCAGGTACTCATCCTGATAATTCAAGTAGCCACTATTCCTAAAAGAGACAAACTGTAGGCTGTAGCTTTGGATCATATTTATATGTGTAACCACACATAGTATATACCTACTATTGGCAGCTGTAGCAGTTTGATACGGCTTGAACAATCATGATTCCATTCCATGGGATGCTGGCATTTGTAGTGTGTGAATGACTTATAATGAGTTCTTTCAATTCTAGTTTTAGTACTATTTTAAGTACTTAGAATTAGCCTTCTCTAATGCTGTATTTCAAGAAGTGGACCTCAGATTTTGTCCTTCTAGAGTAGTGGTTTTCAACCTGTCAGTCCCCAGATGTTTTGGCCTTCAACTTCCAGAAATCGTAACAGCTGGTAAACTAGCTGGGATTTCTGGGAGCTGTAGGCCAAAACAGCTGGGAATCCACAGGTTGAGAAGCACTGTTCTAGAGGTTCATTTCCCCAAAGCCCCTGCCTGGCCAATTGTGATGCATTCTAGAAGCTTAAGTTGAAACAACTGGAGATCCAAAGAGACAAGAGCCCTTTAGCAGATAATTCTTCATCAAACTACAAATCCCAGAATTCCACAGGACTACAACTGCATTCTCACTCAGTTTCACACAAACACACAGACACATTTATTAAGTTCAGCACAACCATAACATGTCGAGTTGATCAAGCCAGTTAAAAATGCTGTTTATTACAGCAAGGATGGCTCACAAAAATATCCTGTTTTGGGAAATGCCATTGTTCCTCCCCTTATAGTTCGTTCAAAGAAAAGGGTGACACGTGACACAAGCATTGCTGCTAATGAAAAAGTATCATCCTTTGACCCTGTGAGCCCTGGCTTGATGGCAAAACCATTCCTAAATTCAAATATTTTCTCAAAATCATAATTAAACATTGCTGAGAATGGCACCAACCTCACAGATTAAGCAAGAAACATCCAGTGATAGCCTTGGGGCTGTTTTTATTTCGTCATTATCTTTATCAAAGATGGGGAGGCTTTGTCTTACCAGGTAATTTGTTCTATATTTCCCATCAACATGGCCAATTGAGAGTCACAGTCTAACATAGCTAGAGCCCCTACATTGAATCCTCAAAGTCCCCAGAACACCACCCCTCACAAATTTTTAAAAAACTGGGAACAATTTTGGACCATTTTGTGCCTGAAATTTGCCCCATAGCCCCTCAAACCTGTCTTCAAATATGGCAGTTTGCTTTTTCCAACTCTCCAGAGCCCCCAAGTCCCCTCAAAAGCTAAAAAAAAAATGAGTTAGAATTGCTCAAAGTGGTGGCACACTGAAATGTGTCAGTGTGACCTGCTAGGTGAGCACAGGGGATGGCCTTCATGTTCTGCAGTTGCTGACTGCAACCTAGAGTTAAAGGTTCCCTACATCAGCTCTACATTTAACTAAAATAGATCTATACAACCAATTGTTCTCAACATGTAAGTAAACTCCAGTAATTGACTAAGCCTATTATAGTTGGCACCAGCAGTAGAATTCAGAGCATGTCCTTTGGGAAAGCCTGAGAGCTTATCAAGATTTCACTAGAAGAGTATTCAGGGTTTTGTTTTGTTTTTTAAAAAAAAGGTTGTCGGGGGGGGGGGGGGAAGCTACCACACTGCACAGTTACTGCCCAATGGTCACACTTACTGTAGCTCTGGCTACATTCTGTGGAAGTGTGAGATATGTTATTTGGTAAAGAACTAATTCTCCCTTTTTGAAAACTCCATTAATTGCAAATCCCAAGATTCCAAATGATGTTACCATGAAAAGAATATTTCGCTAAGCATTTGTAAGTCCACTGGCATTATTCTATGGCCAACTTCTTTTGGAAGTTAACCACAGCCATGCTGGAAGATCTAGAACAGTGGTTCTCAACCTGGGGTCCCCAGATGTTTTTGGCCTACAACTCCCAGAAATCCTAACAGCTGATAAACTGGCTGAGATATCTGGGAGTTGTAGGCCAAAAACATCTGGGGACCCCAGGTTGAGAACCACTGATCTAGAGATTCCTCAAGAGGTGTTCTTTCAAGTAAAAAAATGGTGTTTTTTATTTGTAGTTTCCCCACTTTCATGTGGGTCCTGCAACCCTAACCCATAGGAAAGTGGAAGGCCTACTGCATTAATAAATAGGAAATGAGTTTGGTTGCTTTGGGCACTTATTCAACAATTGTTTTATTCTTTTTACAATAAGTAAATCAATAATTACATTTTTAAAATATACTGCTATTAAGTCAAATACTTCTATTGCACATGTGATGTTATTTCTGCCCAAATATGAGAATTGTAAAAAAAGGCTCTGACTCCAGATCCTTTGCTGCCTTTGTCACCATCCTTTGGACACCCCCTAGTGTGTCCATGTCCCTTCTATCCTGCAGCTATCAAAACAAGGCACACCATCCCATATAAGCCCGAACAGAGCAGACCACCATTGCCATAATGAAATGATCTTATTACCTGGTAATGACTTGGACCACTTGACTACGCAAAGGAGTTGCCTCTCACATAGCTGATTAAGACTGGTCATCAAAGCACTTGGAGTTTCTGGTTGTGTGTTGTCATAGCCTGCATAGACAACCTCTGGCTCGATGCCTTGTAAGACACTGATAAGTGGAGGGATAAACTGGATCTCTTGATTTGGAGAGAAAGACAGCCTCTGTGCCAACACTTGGCTTTCGTTAGGGAGGATGGATGACTGCTGGAGTGCAACGACATCTAATGCTCTCAGAACTTTGACCTTGCTGAACTTCTTGAACTTCCGACCTGCAATCCAACAATATGATTACTTCTCATACACACATATGCATAAAGCCTATAAATTATCATGGGAACATAAGAAGCTCAGACCTTTGGTACATCCATATTGTCTGAATATTTACTGGGCATAATCTTATTTTGGCTCAGCCTCTCCTACCCTGCTTGGAGAAACTAGGGTTGACACTGGGACCTTCTGGTTGAGATCCTATAAGTAGTATAAGAGTTATTCATATGGGACTCTGACATAGTTCTATTATCATTAGTCACAGACTTCATTATGTCATTCAGATAGCCCCTCCTAACTCCAATATCTTTTCCATGGCTGGTGGAAAGCAAGAAGAAGGACATTTTCAACCAAGATCTACTTGACTCGTCTGGAGACCTCAGCATATAATGTAACCAGTTGATATTTGTCTATGGTAACAATGAAATCTACCAGAACATAGGCAAATACTTCTGTGTTTTCCTCCCCTCTCCCCCTCTCCACTGCAACAGAATTGCTGTTTGGGAAGGTGCTATAAGAGTATAGATGAATTTGATTGTTGTGGAAGGAAGGAAGGAAGGAAGGAAGGAAGGAAGGAAGGAAGGAAGGAAGGGAATGTTAACTTCTGTGACAATACAAAAAACCCATAAAGTACATATTCAAGCATAAGGTGCAATAACAGTTGCATATCTTACTAGATGCTAGACTCTGTGTGTAAATACCACTGAACTCTGCACTTTCTGAATGTAAATTTAACTATTTCTGAAGATAAAGTATACACCTTGTTTGTTGAATACCTGACTGAATAACCTGCAACTTGCAATATCCTGTTACTGATGGCTCATGGCTTCCAGATCAGTGAATCATCAGTTAATCAGACATGGATTTTTGTCCTAAACTTTAAAGGAATTACCTAAGGTGCTAAACCAATGGAAAGGAAAGGTTCAGCACTTTGGATAGTTCCTTTCAAGTTTATACTAAGAACCCAAAGGGCATTCAACAGAACACCAACATAGAAACTATCAGCTGACACTGGATACTGCCCCCTCCTTGGTTTTCACTGCTACAATCAAGCAAACTTGTTATCCCCTGGCGGCCTCATTTAGATTATTTTTCAATTCCCACTGTTTTTTAGCCGGGCCTCTGCACTGGACAATATTGTATGGCACTTAGATGTGAAATGAATAATGAAGATTATGGCAAAGTTACTCTAAGGCATGTTTTGATGTTGTTAAAGATACTGTATTGTAGGATGTTCATTAGTTCATCAGTTATTATTTCCAAAAATCAAATTAAAAGAAAAGAACTATACACAGTTAGCTAACTGCTTCCTAGACAGGATACATGAATGAGGCAGCACCCAACTTTTTCCATTCTTCTTCTCTAGTTTGCATTCAGCCTTCATGCTGGATTTTTTTTGGTAAGTGTTTTAGCTTTACTTCTAGCTCTTCCATCCTTACTTCTTTCTTCCATCTTGGCAACTCTTCAAAACTCCTTCAGCTGCACTTATATAAAATCTTCACTTATCCCTACAACCTTTTAGGCAATTTCTAAGGGGAATTTTTAGGAAAAACTGCCATGGAAGATCTGGTTATTAATCATAGTGGCTATGTACGACTTCCAGTGTTAGAGGCAATATGTCTCTCAGTACCCTTGCTGGTAAAACAAGAAGGGTACAATCCACAAGCATCTAGCTGGACATCGTGTAAACAGAATACTGGACTACAGATTCAACATCTACAAATTTAACGATCTGCAGCTTGAAAGTATTTTTAAAAATTCAAAAAATTGACTTTGCCATTTTGTATAAGAGGTGCTATTTTATTACACCATTGTATAGAATGGGACTTAAGAATCCATGAATTTTAATATCCATGTGAGGTCCTGAAATCAAACCATAATGGATACCAACGGTCCACTGTACTTCCATCTCAGATCTGGCCCAGCAGATTTCTTATAGCTATATGTCTGTTTCTCCTTTGGCTGTCAAACTCCTGGGCTGAATTTCTGACCTTCTTGTAAATTAATTTTGGATCTCCTATAAACTCCTTGCCCCTCCCCCAGTGCTTGATTCTTGATGTTCCAACCTTCCTCAAACTTGAACTTTTCTCCCTCCCTGTCAGAAGATCTGCAAAAGCAGCATCCATTTTACAATCGCACAACATTCCAAAACAAAATGGCTGAAAGTTTCATTCTTCACATTCTTCCATGTCAAAAGCAAAAATCTGGCCAGAAATAATAGGAAAAGCCTACAATATCAAAGTTTTGCAGAAACAACACTTGTGATCCATCAATCTCACTAGTGTTGAAGGAGGATGGGGTGACAACAAGATGATTTATAAAGTCTCTCAGTTATAAGTGTCTGCAAAATTAAACACACATAATCCCAGATTTATATTTATTAGTGCCTCCAGCCTCCTCTCTGGCAAAAGTTTGAAATAAAGTTGGAAGTTAAGCTACCAAGCTGCATTGTGCAATTTATTGTATGTGGGCAGGCTTTTCAGGACATCTCATGGTAAGAGCAGGTGAAAAATGTTTGACAGTTTGTTATTTCCTGACAGTAATATCATGATTCTGCCTTCAAGGTCACTCTGCCCCTGTAGTTTTCTAAACCAAAGTGCTCTACATGCACTTCAGAAGTTTACATAGCTTTATGAGAACAAAGCTGGGGTGATAAATCAAGATTGCAATGAAGAATGAAGTAACATCTCCTGACAAATCTAACTAAAAAATTTTTTCAAGCACCCCATTGCCCTAGAATGTGACACTGGAAGGACAGCTGTAAGTTGTGTGGAAGCACTTTCAATACAAAAAGAGTTCTGAACACAACCTATCTGAAGTAAAAACATTTCTAAAGTGAGCTGACTTTGATTTTGGTGACATAATTCTAATATAAAATAAGAAGTGTTGAGAAGCATTTGTAAAGGCCTTTCATTGGATTTTTCCCTCCTTAATTTCTCTGGAAAAAATCTGGAAAAAATAAACTATTGTAATAGACTAAACAATTCTAAAAATAATATTTCAATCCAGCTACAGACTCCATATGAAAGACTGTGTGCATATAAGTCCAGGCAGATGGGGATACAAATAAATGTGGCTTAAGGTCTCAGTCCTTTAAAGAAGGCTGAAATTTTGCCCAAAACATGAATGAGGGGTAACGTGGAAGGCTGGATTCAGTCCATTCTCTCCCCCCCCCCCCATTTTTTTTGTCAAAATTAGATTAGCAGGTTTGGGAATTTAACAAGGTATTATGAAATCACAGTTCTGCGCGGAATACTTAAACCAGGAAGCATTTGCAAAAGCTTCAGGAAGGAAAGAGTACCCTTCAATTTGGCAAGAACCAGGACTCACTTACAATATAGTGCCTACTACCAAGGTTTCATGCCTTTGGGGCAGAGTCCAGCAGTACACAGGTAGAGCCAATGGACCCTGAAGCTTTGGCTCTATGCAACGTGCCACAAAATGTTATCTATCACTATGGTTGGTGTCACACACTTCAAATGAGCTGGGGCATGGTGTACCCTGCAGGGGGAGAGAAGAGGAAAGCAGGGAGGGGTTGGGAATCATGGCGATGGAGAAAGACTCCTCACACACTTCTACTAACCATGGTGGCAACCAGGCAATGTGTTGTAATCTGACCGAGACCAAAGTCATAACTGCCTCTTAAAGCCCCACGCAGCTGGGTCCACAGACTATAGGACTTTCCTACTTCTACTCTAAGTTAACGGCCCAGACTTGACTTAACATCCCTAGATTGCACTCAATTTGTAAAAAGTGCCAGAAGAACTAGGGTGAACTAGGGTGGCTGTTATGCAGAGAACATTTTCTTGGGCTGCCTCAGATTGTGGAATGACCTGCCAGAAGAGTTTTGTCAGATGGAAATGTCTGCATTTAAGACCAATCTATTGTGGAAGACCTATCCAGATTATTCTTAAATTATGAATTGTAAAGTGGTGGATTTTTATATGGATGTTTTATGATTCTTTTAATTGATGTTCTTTCTTGTTGTTCCCCATATCAATCTATGTTTGCAGAGACATAAGAAATCATCATCTGAAGAAGTGTACTGAAAGCCATGAAAATAAAGCTAAGATAAATGAATTTCTCTTATGACTATCAAGATGAAACTTGGCACACTTGTAAGCAACATTTACTACTTTATGCCTGCCAAGGTTCAGAACATTTTGATCATCCACTGATCCACTGATTTTAAAAAACGACAACTATTTTTTTAAAAAAAAAATCTACAGGAGGTATCATTGCACAATTTCTGCACAATGAGACAATGTAATCAGGGCACTAATCCTGCAAAGTTTCAGAAAGATTAATTCTTCTACTGATTTTTAGGATTTTTTTTAAAAAAAGTGTTTTACATTTTAAAAGTCATTTTAAAAAAACTATGAGAGATATCCCCTTACATTGTGGTTCTGTGAGACAACATGAGCAAGGCAGAATGCATGCCAAGTTTCAGAACAATCAGTCTATCAATTGATTTTAAAGGGGTTTTTTTTCAATTTAAGCACATGTGATTAACTGAAATCACTTTCATATTAATGAGACTTATAAGCAATAAAAAGTTCCAGGAATATAGAAAATATAAGTTTGAGTTTGATGATTTCAACAGAGGAAGGTTGAAATCATCAAAATATTAAGGGACAGAAACTAACAGAATTATCAAAAACTAAGTTTTAAGAAAAACACATAAAGGACCTCCAAGCACACGTCTTTCTCTCTCTCCTTCTACCACCACAATGACACACAGACACTAAGAGGAGGAGACCAACTTTGCAGAAAGTCGTGTGATTGGCTTTCTTCTTGGCTCTTCTTCTGATTGGCTGACAAGGAATAAACAGTATGCAGCTACCCTTGTCAATCACATCAGCCTCAACCCCCTCCCACCCCAGATAATTAGGGACATAGTATATTAACATTGGGGGAAAACACCCCAAAACAATGAATCTTTACTAATCTCTCCAAAAGTTTTAGAGGCTTTTGTTTTGATTCTTAATGCTTCAAATACGTC